ATCGCCCCGCCGTGACCTTGGGGACACAGGAACGGCCTGTGGGCGGCACCTGGCGGGTGGGTACCTGCCCAGGGCTCGCAGAGTGTCCGGGGGTAACACCTGGGGCTGCGGGGGAAGGGCTCTGCAGGACCTGTTACGCTAACGAGTGCCTGCGCTTCTAGGTTTGAGGCTTGGATTGGCGTTGGAACTAACCGGGCAGTTGTTGCCTCGCTCTATCTGCAAGAAGCTTTTCATCTGCTAGTGTTGCTACAAATAGGAAGAGAATAGGTGAGAAGGTACGTACCTACGTAATACTGGTTTAATTTTGTCTAAGGCTTAAACCTTTTGAATATGGCAATGTGCTGATATGGATCAGGCAGCGAAATTTCCTTGGCTCTTAAAATATCCATCTTTTATAAGCATCTAGGTTTTTTCCTTCTGCTGCCAAGTATTGTGTGGGTGATTTGGCATGTGCTCCCTTTGGGGACTGGCACAAGTCGATAAGCACTCAGTGTGATGAAAGCAGTGTACATTTTACTGGATGCAGGCAATTGCTGCTCTCTAGTAATTCCCTTCATTCAGAGTCTGTCTCACTGCTCTGTTGTTCTTTTCCTCTAAGTGAGGAGCAAAACTCCGGAGTGCTGTGTGAACACTAGTGAGGTGTATCGGATAAGGAAGCATGACTTGGCCTTGGAGCCTCCATGTTGAAATAACACCTTGCATGCTATGCTGCCAGTAGCAAAGCAGTTCAGATTTGGAAATGGCATGTGTGAGTGCCATTTATTACAAGAGTAATGGTTTATTTTGCTTTAAACCCATTACATTTATGCAGCACATCTTAAACAGATTGGATGGGTAGAGTCACTGAGTGATAGTATTTGGCCTGCTGGGACTTTTTTGTTTTTTTAAGGTTCAGGAATAATACATCTGTTTAGGGACAAGCTTTCTCAAAGCCCTGCTTGTCTTCCTGTGTCTGTGCTTGTAATGTAAAAGTTGTACAAAGGATGTGGTTTATGCAATGTGTGTGGGTTTTATTATTCTTTCAATGTATGCCATTCATATTACCCCAAAATACGTTTTGGGAGGTAACAGGCTTCAAAAGAAGCATTGCAGTAAGTAAAGAGTGAAAATTGTTCTGTTTACTGATGCACTATGCTTGAAGCCAGACTTAAAAGTCAATGAGGCACTGATTTGTGTGTGTATTTCTGTGGGCTTTTAAGACTCATGCAGTTTTGTGACAGCACTGCCAGCAAAGTGTGTGGCTCAGCAGCATGGTTCTGAAACAGCTCTTGGGCTGAGTTATTTTGTCCCAGATAAATAAGCTTGTCTTAACTGCTCACCTGGTGAAAGTACCTTGCTGCAAAGCTGAGAAGTGAATTCATTTGAATGTTTTATTTCAAAGTGTCACCTTTGTGTTTCTGCTTTCCAGCTGCCTTCCTGAGAGTCAAGGTGTAATTCTGATTTATAATATGCTGGTGTAGGGGGCCCTTGCACTGGGAACATGACAGCCAGACACAATTCAAGATGTTCGCATTCATTCCCTTTCTACTTATCTTCTGAGACCCACATAGAAATACCTAATGTGTCTGTATCATCATGAATAGTTTTCTTAGCTTCACCATGAGGAGAAGAATTCTCTGTTTTGCTTTATAGGTCAGGAGCTGAGATGGGTGAAATATTCCTGCCAGCTAGCCTTAGACACCTGATGGGAGTCTATGCTTCTATATAAAGGTAGTGCTCAGCACTGTTCCCTGGATGTACTCTTTGCTTTCATTTGGGAGATCCAGGGAGATTAGAAGCTGTAAAGCTCAAGTAAGATGAAGCTATAGCAGTGGTACTCCTGGAGAGCTGCAAAATCAGTCAAAATACAAATATGCTAAGTCTCATTCCTGGGCCGAGGATTTTCTGTCTCTAAATGGAAG